AAAAAAAAAACTGAAAAAAAAATAAAAACTTGACAGCGAGCGTTTATAACTTGAATGCCGGGCTCTTATTTTCGCACAATGAAAATACCAACGCTAAAAGCTAGCTAGCTTTCGTATCAACCAAAGCTGGCTAAAAATTACAAAATCTTCCCCTATGTGTGTTGTGAAGAATCGTAAAAGACGTGAAAGAAAAAATGGATTAACTTATTTGTAAGTATTGAAAGTAATTGTCCAATTGCAAGACTGACAGTTTGGCATAATTGGTTAAACAGAGTTTGTTTTTCTTGAATCCGCAAAATTTACATGCACTTCGCTATCGGCCATGGAATCAGCATCTAACTTTTTAAGATCTTCTTCCCTACCTGTGAAGATTGAGAATTTACAAATTTTTTGTTGTTTTCTGTGTTTTCAGCCATGATTTGGGCTTTAAAAATAGCTCCACGGTTTCTTTTACCAACGCTACAAGAAGAAGGCGCGAACATTGGTTGTCTTGGTTTATTTTTAAAAATACATTTTAGCCCGGCAAATTCTTTATTTTAGCACGCAAAATGCGCCACAATGCCCATCAAAGTGATAATAATACAGTTTTTAGCCGGAATTTAAAAGAAACTATCTTTACATAGCGAACGCACCAAGTGAGCGTTTTTCGTTGTATAAACAAGGCAGTGTTTATAAACAAGGAATACCGCAGAATTTCCAAAGTAGCGAAATTTATGACTTTTGAAAATCAGGTAAACGAACTACAAGGGCTAATTCAGCCCTACCATCCTGAAATTTTTGAAGGTCTCCTTGTTGCCTTTCGTTTCTCTCGATGTCAGTCATAATCCTCTTTGCCAGATTTTCATCTTCTTTTGCTTCTTCTCGTGATTTCCGTTTCCTTCTCACTTTTGACTCGTCACCTTTCTTCTCAGTGTCGTTCATTGACTTCTGCTTGCTTTTATCAGATGTAGCCGGCGCCTTCAGCAACACTACTGGCTTTCCGGTCCAGTTTGTGACCTCTTGGATAATGTGTACTAAAATATTAAATACCGTGTGTTTTAAGTTTTCTCTTTAGTAGGCTTTTGAGAAACTTACAGTTCTTATCAGCAAATGCTCGTCAAGATGTATAAAACGTGCACATCGAGCGAAATCTCTCGTGCGTAGCTTCCCTCGAGGAGAGAATTTAATATTATTTGAACGTCTGGTTTTCAGAAACGAATAAATTTAAGGGCGTGTATAAATAAACGGGGTCTTTAATATGTTAAGCTACACTGTTGTTCATTCACCAATTAATCAGAAAGAAGCTTATAAACTGATTTACTCGCTACTTCATTGTAGAGATTTTTCTTCTCAGTTTTCGCATTCAAAGGGACGGTGAAAAAGAAAAAAAAAACATTCCGCTCCACAAAACAACAAACAAAAAACGGTGGAACCAGTGTTTAACCACGTTAATATTTGAGCTTTATATTTAACTACAGAACTAAAGTGATTCATCAAACTCCGCTGCACGCGTTCCACACTTACCGTTGAGCTCACTGCTACTTTCATCCGATATTAAATTTGGAAGTTCAAGCTGCCATTGCCCATCCGTCACAATTGCAAAATTTTCGCATTTGCCCGCAGGCGATTTCGCCATGCGAAATAACTTTAACGAAAATGCGCCAATTCCATATTGATGTGCCTGCTCCTTTAGTCCTAAAAACTCCGTAAGATGTTATTTTAGTTCAGATACTCTTCTATGAGCTTCTTTGCCTACTGGGACCCTGCTTCAATGACGTTCGATGGCGACTGCTTCACCTTTTGGAAAAAAACTCACGATGACTTTAGCAATCCCAGTCATGACCCGACCGCATGAACAAACAACGAGCAATAAAAAGACAACAGCAGGGCGTCTCGTCGGCTCGATTGTGATCCGCTGTTCTTGAAATGAGACAGCAGGGCATCTTGTCAGCCCGATTACGAGCCGCTGTTCTAGAAATAAGCCCACGCTGCTCACCGGAAAGAAGGATCCCGTGGATTGAAAGAAATTTGAAGACAAGAAATTCTATAATTCGGCTAAATTTGGAATTAATGTGGTTACGTCAGGTGAAGAAGGATTTTCTGAGCTGGAAATCATCAAAATGCTGTTCTTTCTGAAAACAAACATCCCTATCACGTCTGACCATGTTGGTTGTCGGTTAGAATTTATTTGTAGCTAGTCGGTAACTTTTTCCTCGTTTTGTCGGTAGTCAGTAATTTTTTACGCCCTTTGTCACTAGTTGGTTAACCCCATTCACACCCTCCTCTAGGCCCAAGCTGTTGAAAAGGTTTTCCAGATCCTGGAAGGCGACAAGAGCGTTAGTGTGAGAGGCCTCAGTGCCACCAAAATCATCAATGTAATTCACACACTGGTGATGATAAGTGGAGTAGAAAATGTGAGCAATCGCATTGGTAGTACGTTGGCATGCGAGGGTGGCTGTATGCAAGCCAATGGGAAGAACCAGATCAAAATATGCAAAATCTTTCCATTGGTAACCGAGAAAAATGTAGTCCTTAGGATCAATGGGAATTTGATGATACACATGCTTCAAATCCTTTTTAAAACAGGAAGCATCCTGGGCCCTTGGTGATGATGAGGGCGGCGGAGCGGGGAAGAGAAAGATGAAAAGGTTCGTCCAAAAAAGAGTCTTTTGGAATGTCATTGTTAACGGAGACATCGGGGGGAAGCTCAAATCCGAAACGACTCGACGTTTACAGTGATCGTTAGGGACAGTTTGGAGTGGTGAGGTGTGGAGGAGCGTTGGGAAAGGATTGCGGTGAAATGGTCCAGCGGTAGCCCCATGGGAAATTTCAGCTGCGATGAAGGAGTCAATAGCATTGGGGAAATGGACTGCAGAGTTGTTAGACTTGGAAGGTGTAGAAAAGAAACTGGAGCGGTAGTTGATGGGCCAACCAAAGGCGAGAAAATCGGCCACTACAGAATCGGAGTACATTTCCACGAAGGAATGTTCAATTTCGAAGGAATGTGAACACGAGGGCCGAAGGCATTGGGGTTCGACAACTTGGAACACAGGATGTGGCAAAGAATGGCAGCATACGAACGGGCACTGGAGAGTGAAGGCTGAGCAGACGGCAACATGGAAATTAATGGCACTTCCGACGAAGTTAACAGAGGAAGTGGATAGTCTGGGGACAATGGAGTTAGGTCAGGAGGATTCGGAGAGTGGGCTAGTCAATCAGACGGAGGAGGCGTGGAACGGTTTGAGGGAGGTGGTGATCAAGTAGGACAAGATGCGATGGTATGATCTGAGAGTTTGCAATAAATGCAGGTATCCTCCACTCCCAGCTGGTGGCTGGTGTTATTACAAGCGCCATTGTGATTCCATTCGCGGCAATACTGATGGACGGTGGATGTTGACAATGGTTTTGCCTTGGATCCATGTTCTGAAGATGATCTAAATAATGATGTGAACTCAATCTACGTAGAAATAATCGAGAAGAATCAAACGTACTTCAAATGCAAGATCTGTGGCCGAAACCTGTCGAGGAAACAAAGACTCGAAACCCTGACTTGAGTTATGTTCACGGCAAAGGTGAGAAACAACAGAAGGCATGCAAATCACAATTTTGAATGTGCAGATTACAAACGTGTTTTACCCTCATCATTATGACAGATGGATACCACTTTAGGAAGTATAAGAGCTTAGTAACCTAGATGATCACAGTGTACCAGTACCCAAATCAACGAAGTTGGACCGTAACCTAGCTCCAACACAGCCATCTCTACTCCTCAGTGTTTCGCTTCCACTGCATGAGCTAGCAGTGGTGCCAAAAGCGTCATTGGTGCGTCTTATAACGAAGAAACATTTGTACAAGAGAAGGAAGCGATTAAAGTACGTTAGAACTCTTGCCTACAAATGAATGTGCACAGTCCGAAGCGTTGACCCATGCTTATGATTATGTTTATGTATTATGATTTTGGCACATCTCCGGTCATGAGACATTTTGCATCACAATAAAAACTTTTATTACCGTGGAATCCAAGAGGCCTTTAAGGTTAGAAAGCAAATCTGTGATATGACTATATTGGATTTAAATTGAAAATTTGCACTTAATGTAACTGACTGCTGCTTTATGAAAAAATGTATATTAACGTTAAGATTTGCTAAAACTTAGTTTAAATAATAAATTTCATGATAAACATGTACAGGTATATACATCTCTTGGTATATTTGTGTGAGACTTTGAAAGTATACTTGTACCCTACATCAACAACAAAGAAAATGATTTTCACTCGAGCAGTATAGTTAAAGTATACTTGAATCCAACATCAACAACAAAGAAAATGATTTTCACTTGAGCAGTATACTTAAAGTGTACATCAGAAAGGGTACTGCAGATGTACTTAAGTAAGTGCAGTACTATTGAAGTATTATTAAGTATGATTGCAGTATAACCACTACTGATGCAGTATACTTGTAGGATACTTAAAGTATACTTCAAGACCATCTTTTTTGGTAAGGGGTAGCACGAAATGATTTTACTGTTGAATTCCAAGACCTTGAGGGTAACAACAACTTTGGTACAATACACACCTATGCTAAGGTTGAAGAAAAATGTCAGCAAGCAATTTGTGCTTATCAAAAGTGCTGTTGCAATTTGGTCAGTAATTATTATGGCATTATTGAAGTTTTGGAGAGAGATTCTGACCAGCTGCCTAAATACCGAGGGAGGACAGTGGTGAACCACATTACAAGAGTTAAAACATCCAACAGGTACCCTCCTGTCATATAAAAGAACAGCGGGCCAATTATACTTTGAAGCAAGTCGCATTAAAGAAAGCAAATGTCGCATCATGACGGCTTGTTTCTCAGGTGGTTCAGAATTAACAATGTCTAAAGAACCGTAAACGAATTCAGAAGTAGTCAGATCTTTGAACTTTTTCCTTGCAAGACCGAATGGAACATGCAAATGAGGCCGTTCTTGCGGATCAGTGATATGTGTGTTGTGGTCAAGTTGTCCGGAACGCACAGTGTCAAGCAAAGGAATCGCTGCCAGTTTACCACTGCTAGGAGATGAGAGCGATCGCGCCTTAGCTTGGGCTTCCAGTTCCAAGACTAGGATTTCTAGACGCTGCTTCTCTATTTGAAGCTTGAGGAGCTCCAAATGCTGGGAATTTTCGGGCATGGAGGTCGGCGAGACACGTGGTGGAGTGAGATTGACTTGAAGCGAAGTTGTGACGCTTGAAGCGCTGTGAAGCAGCCGATTTAGTGAAGGTAGGTTGTAAACAAAACCCATCGGTAAAGAAGGTGCCTTGACTTGACGTTTACTGGTGGCAGAAGCCATGCAGAAAAAGGTACAAACAGGATCGATACTAAATGAAGAAAACAACTCGAACGACCGAATGAGCGAAAAAAAATGATCATATGACACCGCGTCATTCAATGACAAGCCAGTAATTTTAAGCCGGTAATGGCGTGGAGTCCTGGGGCTAATTAAGTTATTCCCTGGGAATATTAACCATACTTCATTAAACTTGGTGGTTCTGAAGGAGATTTACTGGTATAAACACGGAAAAACAAGAACCCCATTGATCAATGGTAAAAATTTTACGTGGTTTAGATGCTGACTCTAAACATGAAGAAGGTGCACCACGACTATCAACCACTTGAACAGCAATTTTAAACTTGTTTTCAAAATTTGGGTTTGGAAGCAAAACCCACAAATGATTAAACTCATTGGCCCAGATCTTGGCCTGCACTTTATCAGAAACTTAAGTCAATTGGTAAACTGCAGGAGTGGAAAATTCTCCCTGGGACAGGGTTTTGCTCACCTGCCAAGGACTGGCTGACTTGAAACACTGAGTGCTCCACCAATGACTTGGTTTTGTCTTGGGGGTCAGCAACTTCCTGGGCTGGTTCATGTCTGGGAGGCTACTCCTCACAGCAGAGGCCCGGCAATTGTTCTGTATAAATGCTGATAGTTTCGAAAGAAACTGTTTGGGGCTGCATTGGTGGGAGTAACAAAATTGTTCTGTAGTCTGTGGTTGGAGATGGCGAGTCACCTTGTCTGCCACTCTGCTGACAAGGGTTTCAATTAAAGCAGGGGGGATCGTCACTGCTGGGCCAGCTGGGGTGTGATCATTTTCCACGTTCAACCTTTCAGAAACACGCCGCTTCTCCTCTGACACTTTATTGGTCTCAGCTGGCCGCTTGGGAGGCATGGTTCTATAGAAAAACAAAACACTGCAGAATCAAGTGTTCACTGACAATACTGGGGCAGACCCTGTCAAGACAATAAACTGCTGACGCAGAAACTTGATAAATAAAAGGTAGGTACGAAACCGTTACCCTATTATAAACACACATCTTCCCAATTAGGAACCTCAAAATAGGGGAACAAAAATGTTCTTCCCTGTGATTAACCTCAAAATATTGGGACTGAAATGTTAGCCCAACTTGCGAACGAGAGCTGCAGGGGACAAAAGTTGTCACCCTTGAAATAAACATCAAATTATGGGGGCAACACTGTTAATCCCAATTGTAAGCAACAAGAATATGGGGACAAAAATGTGACACTAGTTATAAACAGTTAAATAGGGGAACAAAACAGTTAACCCCAGTTGTCAACAACAAGAAGATGGGGACAAAACTATTAACCCCAGTTATAAGAAATCAAATAGGGGAATGAAACTGTTAAATCC